ACTTTCGTCACTGAAATTAAAATACGGGAAAAAATAGTCAAATTTAGACGAATGGAAAATCGAATTCGTTTGTTTTGTTTTTCATGGTCTACGGGCGTTTTGTTTGTTTTTGTTTTGGGTTTTTTTTTGGGGGGTTACCCCGTAGAATCGAAGATTTTCTGCTTGGCCCAGTCCTCGGAAGTTTTCTCTCTCCCTCCCGTTCATTCCATCAGTCTAATTACCGTAATCCACCGTACTTCTCCCGCGTCTCATCGGCCTGCGTGCCCCCCGCCCTGGCTCCTGTTGTCCGCGCCTCAGTGTTTGAGCTCTTAATGAACATCCACATTCCTCCAGGAAGTCGCCGGCTTTTAACCCGCGGCGGGGCGGGGGGAGAGGGGTGGGAAATCCCCTGGACAAATCCTACTACGGACGGGTTTGTAGCTAGCGCCAGTATCCAGAATCTCCTCCATTTTCCGTTTTTTGTTTTGTTTGTTTGTTTGTTTTTGTTTTGTTTTGGGTTTGTATTTTATTGCTTTGTTGTTGTTGTTTTGTGTTTGTTTGTTTTTTTTTGGGGGGGACAGTTCGTGTGTCGAAAACCACACACTCCTACAAATTAATTTTGAATATTCGACGACCTAAGCACAGGGGTCGTCGAATATTCAAAATTAATTTGTAGGAGTGTGTGGTTACTCTACCACCAACCCCCACCCCAACCAGATGTCTTTTTTTCGACAAAAAAAAGTTCACCAAAAGAAAAATCATTGTTATACACATTTCAGAAGATGGAATAGATGGCGGCGCTAGACCTCGTTAGTTATGGAATAGTTAATTTTCGTCACTTTGCATGCAGAAAATGTGGGTTGTTATATAAACCTAATATGTCCCACTCAGCCGAGTTGTTGCGAGCGAGCAGGCTCGAAGCGTCACGTCTTCTAAATGATCTGGATTTTGGGTTTAAAAAATAATAGTGATATATGGCATTTCTGTAGCGCTCAACCCCGATTAAGGTACACGGGCTCTGAGCACTTTACAATACATCAGTAACATATAATCAGTACGTTATGTGTTGACCAAAAGAAAACCTCTCTCTAAATATTTATCTCATTATTTTAAAAACAGAAATGACGTGAGCTGACCTTTGAATGAATTAAAGGATTTGATCTCTCTTAAACTACTGGCAAAATATTCCAGATCTTGGGGCCTTGACATTGGGTGTCTAGCAGGCAGTCTCATTTACGTGTATTTTGCAACACTGTGATTAGTCCTGTGTCTTTGTGTAGAATGGGTGGCCATATGATGATAGGTTTGTTGCTGTAAAACCTGTTGGCACTTACATGTCAAAAACTGAGCCGATAGTGCCGTAAAACACCTACTCAATCAATCAAGAATGGGTGACTGGTGGTCACTCTGGTGTGGGTTGCTCCTTCTTTCCTATCAAACATCTATCGTCAATCTCCCCTTCTTCTTTTGTGTATGTCTTACTCTCTTGAAACGCGTCTAATCTTCGGCACTTATATAGTCTTATTATGTTGCAAGTGCCCCAAACTCTTACTGCAGCTGAAACTCTTACAAAAGCTACATTTAAAGGACTATTTGTCTCCCTTTTTGACTGAACTCAAGCTATGGGAACGTGGGACCTTGTTAGTACGCCTGATCCAGACGTGTGTTTGATTTTTACATTATACTCACCCCCACCCCCGTTTTTAAAGCTGTTATAATTCGTCTGCGTGTGACATGAGGGTGTTCCAAAAGCTTTTCTTGCTGAGCTGGGAACAACATACTAAAAAAAATGTTGCAGTCGAAGAAAGTACCATTTCTCTCGACCTTTTGGTCGTGGAAGGGTGGAGGGTGGCTGTAGTTTTTCCTTTTTTGATCAACTATGCATCTGTAGTTTCTTCTTCTTCTTCTTCTTCTTCTTCTTCTTCTTCTTCTTCTTCTTCTTCTTCTTCTTCTTCTTCTTCTTCTTCTTCTTCTTCTTCTT